CAGTGTGTGTGATGTCATCAGTCAGTGTGTGTGATGTCATCAGTCAGAGTGTGTGATATCATCAGTCAGTGTGTGTGATGAAGGGTAGGCCTGCAGGACTCGGCTGTCTCAGCAGTCTCCTGTACAGCAGGGGCGAGGCTGTGGAAAACAAAGCTGCTATTCTTCACTCTTATACATGAAATGTCTAATGGGTAGAATTTCAGGATGTCACCAAGGAGTGCAATTGTTTACCTTACCAAGCAACTGTTGTGTTTTGTTTTCTTCCCTAGAATTAGAAGAATTTGCATTGCCAAGTGCTCAGTAAATGTGTGTAGACATGGCTACACGGATCTTTCAACCGGTTGACTCTTAGAGTAGTGGTTGTTCAAAACTGAGACGGTGTGCGTTCCTTCAATTCTGTAAGAAAAGAAAAGTGTCTTAAAACTAGGAGGAAACAAGAAACTATGTCCATTTCTTTCCAGTGCTCTTCATCTTGCTTGGTTTGTTGGTTTTTGAGACAGGTCTGAATATATAGCCTAGACTGTCATGGAATCGGCCAGCCTCCTGCCTCTGACTCCTAAGTGATTGGACGTCAGGTGTAAGATGCCTACTACATAATACTGATAAATTGTTGTCATTATGGAACTGACTTGTTAAAAATAATGTATAATCAGAATGGGGTTAGGGGAGGAAGGCTATATCTTATACTATTTTTTTTATTTATTTATTTTTGAACATGAAATGCTTTTTTATAGCATGTTTTACAAGGGGAGGGGGTAAGAGGGGCCAGGTGGTGGAAAAGTACAAAATCTTCTTGGCCTGTGCCTTGAAACATGTCATGGTCTATAAGGTACTCTGCCTTGAATTATGATCTACCTGCTGTTCTTCAGAAGATATGGTACACTGCTTTGAGTCTATCTGCAGTTGCTAAGCAGGATCTTGCAGTTGCCAAGCTTCAGAGGACATTGAAGTGATGAATATTTGAGAGGCAGAGATCTCACCAAGATAAATGACTTCTTTGGGAAATATTCTAGGGAAGTTATCCTAAGTCAAGTACACTTGAAAATGTTTTCCAAGTACCAGGACCCACTCTCTAGTAAAGACAGGTGTTACCTGTCCCAGACAACTGGAACGGCCTATAAACACCAGCTCTCCATTGCTGTCATTTAGATGGTCTCTTCTGTTCTCAAGAGCACAGCTCAGAGCGTAGTAGGGCTGCACCACACAGGCTCCTTCTGTCATCAGAGGCTGCTCATCCATGGTAGTAGACTAGGTCCTGCTGCTCGGGCTGCAGAACAGCAGGAAACCACACTCACGCACAATTCATGTACAAGCGTTTGGCTGCCCTCGGTCTTCCAGGTGACTTCAGAAGCTGGCTTTTCTGTTTCCCAAGCTGTGGCAAAGGCAGCACAAAGCTTTCTTCTAAAATTGTGTGGTACATGTTCTAAGGTTGGCTTTCTTACACGTTGCCTGATTTCAGATGGTGTGGCACATGTATTCTTGACTGAGGAGCGAAAGAAGGGAAAGGTAGAACTGAAGCTAGGTAACATGTAGAGTCACTCATTACAGAAACATCTAGGTGTGTGCTGTGGTGAACAAAAACAGCCACGATGGGAAAAATCTATTTAAGAACACAAATCGTCAAAGCCAGATACATTACCAATGGGCTAATCTTAGGTCCATTTTTCCCAAGGGGACATTAAGGTGAAAGCTAATAACATAACTGGAAAAAAGCCTGTGTAGGAAACCCATAAGACTATAAGTATGTTTGTTAAATAACTGCATGGGGCTGAAAAGTGAATTCTAAATCATAATTCATATGACTCTATTGATGCCATAAGCAAGTTCGCGTCCTGTTTTCTGCCTGTTCCACTCACCTTAAATCTCAAGATAACTTCCCAGTGAGGAGAACAAAAGTTAAAGAAGTCATGGTTTTTATGCTTCTTTAATGTTTGACTCTAGTGTGAAGAGGCAAATTTGACTGAACTAGATGGACCTGGGAACATGGATTTTCTTAGATGGGCTGTTTTCCTCTGTAAACACCAGGGACTCAGTTACAAGCAGATGAAATACACAGGGTTTGCTGACTTGTAGAACAAGGCTGGGATGCGACAGTGTATTTCTACCAGAGAGAGAAGACGGATGTTTCTCCCCTTATGTCTCCTTTTAGAGATGGGAGTACAGGAGCTTCTCCTCACACTTCCAGTCCACCTCTCAGTGTCTCAGGGCTGTCACCTACATTTACTAAATGAACCAAGGCTTAGAAGAATGAAAAAACCACTTAGATTGTCTTAGCACTAGCACTGGGGCAAGGGATCACCTCTCTAAGCCCCTGCATTGGGGTAGGAGGTTGTCTTAGTTAGGGTTTTACTGCTGTGAACAGCTACACCATGACCAAGGCAACTCTTATAAGGACAACATGTAATTGGGGCTGGCTTACAGGTTCAGAGGTTCAGTCCATTATCATCAAGGCAGGAACATGGCAGAGTCCAGGCAGGCATGGTACAAGAAGAGCTGAGAGTTCTACATCTTCATCTGAAGGCTGCTAGCAGAATACTGGCTTCTAAGCAACTAAGATGAGGGTCTTAAAGCCCACAGCCACAGTAACACACCTACTCCAACAAGGCTACACCTCCTAATAGTGCCACTCCCTGGGCCAAGCATATACAAACCATGACATAGGTTGACTCTCTAAGCATTCAGAATAAACACCTACCAGAATCAGGACCGTTCAAGAAGGATTCAGAGAAATGTGGACCATAGGGAAGAATGGCTGCTGGGACTACTAGGTGCACAGTCCCTGGGATAGGTGACATCACTGATGACGAGCATAGGGTGTGGAGCAGTTACAAGGTCCCCGCAGTTTCTGCTTCATGCTTTGGGTTTATTTTGCTCCCAGCAAGGTTAAATATATCAATAAGAAATCAAAAGTTGGTAAACTGGTACTTCTTGGCATAGTCAAATGGTGTCAGATGGGTGATGCTTTGACACATTTGTAGTAAGCTTTCTATCATTATTATTTAGAAATGTCCTACTGAACGAGATATATAATTTATGTGTATTCATAATAAACCCAAATATCCATTTCTTGTACCTCTGAAATCCTTCAGCAGTTGCGTCCACTAACTGTCCCGCAAGCTAAGCACTACCCTGAACTTCTGAGTTGATACTTCTCTTCTTTTTATAGTTTTCCACATGTCTATGTTTCCCTGAGTCTGTTTATCCAACCTTCACATGTATCAGACTCACCCAGAGAAGTTATTAAATACAGACTGCTGGGCTGCAGCCCAGAGTTTCTGCTTCTACTGAATCAGGTTTGGAATGCTGTTGCCAATCTGCCACTAATAGCTCCTCTGGGTCATGATGACCCCTTGGTCCATACACTCAGAGAGCTGCTGCCCCTAGCACCAGACTTTGCCTCTTTCTATGTTATTGTATATGCATTCTTCTGTGGCTTGGTTTTTTGTTTGTTTGTTTGTTTGTTTGTATTTTTTGTTTTTGTTTTTTGTAAACCTCAAAATTCAACTATGTTGACTAGGGTAGTGATGGGCCATTCATTTTCCGTTTGCATAGTTTTTCCTCTCGCCTTGATTTCCACCTATTGAGGTAATTAGGGAAGAGGCAGAGAAACAGGAAGCAGTTTGTGTAAGACACCAGGAGTCCACACCTATCCAACATGCAGCATTGGTGCCCCCTGGTGCACAGTGCAGGAACTGCTGCAGCCCTCGTAAAGCCAAGCCTTATTGTGTTACTTATAATGTGACCTACGGAAGAAGTCCAGATTTAAGGCTTACCATCTATTGTAATGCCTGTCATAGCCCTCTTGTATAAAACTACCCTAAAAGTCTTACATTCGTCAAATAGGACTCGTGGTGACGGGAGAGGATGTAACAAATGTGACTCGGGTTGAATATCCCGGATGTGAAAATCCAGTGTCTGAAACCCTTCCACATGCACACTGTTTTGAGCATTCACATGATCCTGGAAGGAGGAAATCCCACACCTGTTTTCCTGTGATGGGTCACACTCAAAAGGCAGGCACACTAATAATTCTGCATAGAATGCCCCTTGTATTAAACATAAGATATATAAGACACAATGAAGGATTGTCATCGTTTTTTAGACAGAGTATTGTATGTATGGTCCGGGCTGACTTTGAACTTGCTATGTAGCCAACAATGACTTTGAACTGCTACCTCGCTGACCTCTACCTCCTAGTCCTGGGACAGCAGGAATTACACACCCAGTCTTCTCCCTGTGCTCAGTATAGAACTCAGGTTTTTATACATGCTGGACAGGCACTCTACCAACTAAGCTACATTCCCAAATCTTGACCCCAAGTATATCTGACAAATGATGCTACATATAGTATTGCCTATAGTGAGGTGAATATTGTCACTGGATACATTAAATTATGAAGGACCAGAAAATTTTAAAACTCATGAGAGAAATGTGTCCTTTTTAAGTCCTCTTAACAGTCACATGTTGCATTCATTTATATATATTTTATATGTATCTAGTAAGCAACTTTTAAGAAGCTTGCTCAAGATCAAGGCTGAGAATGTTTCAGGCTCATAGGAAGACACATCATATTTTCAGGTTGCTACTCCCTAGGATTGAATCACAGGCCTTCCCTGTCTGAGGCGTTTACCTAGCCACTGAATATGCGCCCTCGTGGGTATCTGAACCTTCTCTGAGACTGGGTTCCAGTTAGTGTTTCCTTCTGAAAACATCTTCTTTTCATATGGATGACTGTAGATGCTTTAGAAAGACACACTATGAATGGCATCTGTGCTCTCTCTTTGTTGAACCTGCATGCTGACTTGGACTTGTGTGTATGCCTAGTAGTTAACTGTATTTATGCTTTTCTTATGCAGGGGATTTCCAAAGAAGGCCAGTAGAACTGCTAGAATAGCCTCTGATGAGGAGATTCAAGGCACGAAGGATGCTGTCATTCAAGACCTGGAACGGAAACTTCGCTTCAAGGAGGACCTTCTGAACAATGGCCAACCGGTACTGATGGAAGAGGGGCTTAGACTTAGAACCCCAGCTCCCACTAGCCAGATCTCTTTTGGTTCACTCAGGCTCATGTTCATAAGACTTGTATACCAGGCTTTCATTATCTCTGAATCTCAGCATCCCTCTTAGTGCATAGGAGAGAAATGGAAGTACTAATGGAAGCAACTTAGGGCTGACACCACAACAAATGATATACACTGCTATAAAGAACCCACAGAGAGTCCATCCTAGCTAAATGGCTCCTTGGGAGGACCTAGGAAGGTGCCCTGTGATAGTTGGTACCCAGAAGCAGTAATCTAGAATGAAAGGCTTCCTCCCAGAATAACCTGCCCCTGCTGCAGTTGAGTCCCATCCTCCTTGACTGCCTAGATGCTGCTCCCACACCTCACAGTAATGCCGGTCCCACCGTCTTGATCCAAGTTTTAAACCAATACTACCACACTTGACAACAGAAACTACTTATGCCTTAAGGCTGTAGGTTATTGACTGTGACCATCAATCTGATGGGAAACAGATGGTTCATCCACTACTTAAATTTTCCATAGCTGAGTTTGTTTGCTTGCTTAATCTTTTTGTATCATCTCGGGGTTTTTAAAGGGCTGGGAAAGGCTAGCAAATTAGGTAGCCTGAACATAGGAGATGAGTCTTTTTTGGCTTTTATCATGAAATACCAGAAAAATAAGCTTGCATAAAACCAGTGCAGATGCCTTTTTCGGAACAAAAAAAATACTCTAGGTTTGTGGGATTTTTAATTGTGAAATGATACTAGTGATTAAGGGTTCTTAATCTTAAGAAAGATGAAGCTTCTAGTGAGCTTTGTGATGCTTATTTTACTGGGTCCTGAGGCTCTGCAAAAGAAGGAACTATGTGCCCCCCCAACACCTAACCAGTGATTGCACACACTCTGGAAGCTTTCCCTGATTCTGTCAACAAATGCTGTTGGAAGATTAAAACAGATGCTTATGGGAATTTTTTTTAGCCAGGTGGGGCATCTCTCCAATTCCTCCCCAACACAAACCATTTTTTTTAATTTAAATATTCCTAATGGATGAGGACTCTCTTGGATTAAAAATAAAACTCGACCATATTATCGGTTTGTATACATTTTATAACTCATATGTATATATTATTTATATTTATCTGTTTAGCAATAAGCAAACATTCATAGTATGCTTCATTTGATAGTTTAGGACAAGAAAATTGAAGTTCTTTTTTTTTAAAGGAATTCTCAAATGAGTTATCGTTTGATATATTCATATCATTACATAATATTCTGTTACTTATTTTGGCTTCTATGGACAAGGGCTTGTATTTCTACATGTCACACTGATATCAAAACCAAACTGTGAAGTGAGATTGGCTTCTGGGGGAAGCAGGGACATCTTGGTGATGGAGTAGGAATGCAGTCACTATTTCTGCCTATGCAGAACAGGCCCCCAGTGATGTTGATAAAATTCTCCACTAGGACATAAGGAAGACTTTGTAAGAAAGCAATGATAAAAGCAATAAGAACCCATTTGAAAATGGCACTCCCTCGTCTTAACGGACTTGATAAAATCACTTTGCATAGTTGTACTGGACCAAGTCACTCCCGGCAGCATTCGGACACCCTCTTCTTGTCCCCTGCCATTTCTTTAGCAAATGAAATAATTTCAACCTTAGGGCTACTTGGCATCTGATCTGTTTCACTTCCCCGTTTCAGCTGGGACGAGAACCACCAATTACTGGAAACCGTAAATTCATCCAACATATTTTTCGGATTAGAGAATGTTGAACAGTGTTTGTGTTGACATTCAGAAGTTTTGAAGGGTCATCTGAAATAATGCTTGTACTTTTGTACTTTTCAGATTCTATCCTACTAGTTATTCCTTATTTCTAACCCATCCCTTGTTGGAAACAGCCCCTAAAGAGATTTGTGAAATCTCAAAGTTTCTCCAAGATCCTTAATTCTAAGGCACATAGGACCAGCAGTCAAGTATAAGAATTATATTAGCAGACAACAAAACTGCTGCCATGTTCCACATAGAAATGGTCCAGTGGAATTACCAGCCAAGTGCTAGAGGCAGCAACAGTATGCTCTTCCTCCCAATGGGCAAGCAGTGCACATCTTCGATCTGAGGATGCTGGATGCTGGCTTTGGCACAGACTTGTCCTTACTTCAGCCATTGTGGTCATTCTTTGTGGATTGGATATGCTTCTCGTTGCTTATACTGCAGAGTAGCCGAGGCAGTGTGCTCATGTTGATGGAGCATATTCTGTGTGTCACGTGTTGTGGTAACTGACTGGTAGGATTGTTTCTGCCCGCAACACCTGCTTTTCCTCTCAGGGCTCTATTTGCTGTCCTTTTGAGCAGCTTTCTTTTCTGTCACTGGCTGGGGCCAACATAGATATTCAGAAGCCTGTGAAAGCCTTTGAAAAGAACATCTCCTTTAAGCCTTCCTCTGTTGTCTTAAAAGCAGCCTTTTTCATCTGGTTTGGTTTGGTTTCGTTTCGTTTCATTTCGTTTTGGTGAGGTTTTTTTCTCTAAAGATAAGGAGGTCAGAGCTATCCTATGTGGTCTTAGCCTTGTTGTTGATCGTTCTCATGGATCTGTGTCATATCGGGTGGTAGCTGCCAGGTTTAGTTATCTCATCTCCCAAAACTGGATTTAGACTACACAGAGCAGAAGCAGGGGAGAAAAGCCAAACTGAACAAAGCTAGGAAAAGAAGCAGACTCTTTCAGATACATCTACGAAGCTGAAGAGAGACTAGTTACAAAAAAATGCCCAAACCTATTTTATATTTCTATTCCTTTTCCGTAAGCAATGCATGATTGTGATTGACCCCTAAGTTTGTATTTCTGTGACTTATTTTGGGCAGAGGCTAACCTATGAGGAAAGAATGGCTCGCCGCCTGCTTGGTGCCGACAGCGCAAACGTCTTCAACATCCAGGAGCCAGAAGAAACAGCAGCCAATCAGGTACCGCGTTGCTCCAAACTTTCTAAGAAATAGTCATGGCTCCGCCCACTCTCCCCACACTCTTTATGGACACAATTCTTGGGATCAATTGTATGGCAAGTAGCAGGCAAGTCACAGAAAAGCAAGATTGCTGTCCTGCCACCCTCGTAGGTGTTACTCACTAGACAGATGCTGACACTGCTGAGTGATTGATTAGTAGAGCCTCTCAGTGAATTAACTGATATTCTTGATACTGATCTGGTATCGATCAGTGTGTTTTCCTTTCTGGTATCTGTGTTTTTCAAACTGTCCTATGCTCTAATTTAAAATGGTTTGCATGGAAAGCCCCTTCTCCCCTTTTCTCTTGGAAGCAAGCTAATCAATGTGCCCATCGTGTTATCAACATCAGCCAAAACTAGAAAGGGGAACCTCTGCCCTCTTTCACATAGGTGATCGTAAACCACTAACTGACAGATCGGAGGGGTTATCTTACACCCCCCGCAGCTACCAAAAAAAAGGTCATGTGTGGATCTGGTGTAATCTGCTCTGTAGTTCTATTTCTCCCAATTAGAGTTGGAAGATGTAGGTCTCACGTGAAAGCCAAATAAACAGAAGAGGCCCAACAAAGCTTTAAAGCAAGCCGAAAGGTCCAAGGGAAGTCCTCTCCCTTCCCCTGCCCATGCGAACAGGCCTCCTTCAGTCTGGAAACCTCACTGTGCTCAGACGTTTGCCATCACACACATTCCTTCAAAGGAACCTCGAAACCCTGCTGCCTATTCCTGCCAGTCTCATGTCTTGTTTTCTGCCGTTACAGGATGCTGGGGCTCCTCGGGCTTCTGTAGGGAGTCCTCTGGATGGTCAAAAGGTTAAGCTCTACCCTTCTCCTCTGTCCAGTCTCCCACTGTACCTCCTTCGGTTCTTCCTTTTGTGTCTGTGTGTCTGTCTCTACTGCTGTGTGGTAATTATAAACACTGTGGCTGGTATCAGTATTTCATGTGGTATCAGATGAACCTATTTGCCGCAATGTGCCTTTCTTATCATTTATCCACAAACTTGACTTTCGTTCTATCAGGACCTTTCTGGGAGTGGGGTGATTGATTTGATACCAGTTAAGTGAAAGGAAACAGCTTGTAGTGTATGGTTCTCATAGTTTTACCCAGACCACTGTATTCCTTTCCTCAAACCAATAAACTATTTTCAGGTTGAGTAACTTTTTAAAGAAAAAAAGTAAAATTAAAATAGTTTTTTAAGCAAGCAGGGCAGTCAGTGCACACCTGTAACCCCAGCATTCAGAAAGCTGAATCGGCCGTACAGCTGAGCTGAAGGTCAGCCTAGGCTTCATAGCAAGATTCTGTCTCAAAACAGAACAACACAAACGGCTCCTACTTACTCTGACCTTGGGAATAGTCGATGATGGGCTATCTTGTGTTCATGGTGATTTGCAGGCAGGAAGCTGCAGGCTCTACCCTAAAGACTGGCATGTAAAGATAGAGCCTTGGTGTTGCTTCTATGTGTGAGTGAAGTGTAACTATCGATCTTGCTTTTGTTTAAGAGATGGGCTGGAGATCTAGGAGGGAGCCCCTATGTACTAAGTGTATTGTATGTTTAAAAAGCAAAAGTAGAAAAAATGTGGTGCTGACTTCCACTTGTTCATTTGAGAAAATTCTGTGCGCCATTGAAGCTGCTCGCCCTATACCTTCCGGAGGGGTGTAGCACCCCATACCTTCCAGAGGGGAGTGGCACTCACATGGTTTTTTACCCTATTGAAGAGACCAATGTGTCTCCTTCCTAGGAGTGCAGAGTAGATAGCCTTTCCTTCTTATTTTTTCTGTTTTTCTCCACTCCTTTCAAGAAAGGTAGTGGGTGTTTGCCTATTTGTTTATTTGTGGGTTTTTTGTTTGTTTGTTTGTTTGTTTGCTTTATTTTGGGAATAGGCCTTTAAGGTGATTTTAAATATCACACAAACTCAACTCCACATGTTTTCTACTATCCTATGAAATTGTATCGCACCCAGATCATGATTCACTGAAAAAACAAAACAAAAAACCCACCTTCCTGCGTTTTGTTAGGGAGTGAGGTACATCTCAGGAGATGCTGACATGGTCCTTCTGTGTCTGGCCTAGGAGTACAAAGTCTCCAGCTGTGAGCAGAGGCTGATTAGTGAGATAGAGTACAGGCTGGAGCGCTCCCCTGTGGATGAGTCGGGAGACGAGGTGCAGGATGCCGAGGTGCCTGTGGAGAATGCAGCAGCTCCCTGCTTTGAGATGAAGCTGAAACATTACAAGATCTTTGAGGGGATGCCCGTGACTTTCACGTGTCGAGTGGCAGGGAATCCAAAGCCAAAGGTAAGCAAAAACCATCGCTTTTACAGTACTGCTATAAGAGAAAAGAGCAATGGGAGAGGAAGAAATCCTCTAGTTGCACCTTTGCTTCATCAGAAATAACCAAATCACTAAAAACTATGATTAGGAGAGATCATGCCTTATATAATTTAATTTTAGAACCAAAAGTTAATCTAATTGTGGTAATCACTGCATAATACAGTTTTCATAACTTGGATCCAGCTTTTTTTTTTTTTAATTGGAGTTAGAAAGCCAGGTGGCTCATGCCCTTAATCTCAGCACTCAGGAGCACCGGCAGACAGATCTCTGTGAGTTCTAGGCCAGCCTCATCTACATAATGAATTCCAAGACAGCCAGGGGTACATGGTAAAATCCTGCCTCAAGGAGAAAGGTGGGAGTTAGAAAAACTATTGTAGCTGGCCAGTGGCTCCCAGCACTTGGGAGGCAGAGGCAGACAGATTTCTGAGTTCGAGGCCTGGTCTACAGAGTGAGTTCGAGGACAGCCTGGGCTATACAGAGAAACCCTGTCTCGAAAAACGAAAGAAAGAAAAACTATTGCAGTAAGATCTAACCTTCAGGAATAAATATGTCCAGTCTTTTCCTAGGGAGGAAATGGATGGAAAGATTTTCATTAATATTTAGGTGAACATGCTCAGCAATGAGTTCTATCATGGCCTCCTCCCACACACCAGTCATTAAGTTTGTTCCTGCTCATTCCCCCCCAGGTTCTTCCCCCTCCAGCTGGTTCTGTCTCCTAGCTAGACACCCCTTTGCTTTAATATTGCAACTATCCCGTTACCTTGTAACACTTGGAACTTTAGAAAAAGTCTTTCGGTTTTCTGGGGAGACCCTTGACAGAGCATACATATGGAGGTCAGAGGTCAACCCACGAGAGTCAGTTCTCTCCTGCCACATGGGTTCTAAAGATGGAAAGCACCCTCTGCCCAGCCCTAACAACAGAGCTTTTAAATGGAGTTTTCTGATTCAAATGCTTTGACAGAGTTGGGTTAGAATGTCAGTTTGTGTTCTCAAATTTCACTTATATTTATTTTAAGGCAGAAATTATTTTAAAACCTAAGGGACTAAAGTAGACTTCTGTCAGGAATCAGCTTTTTCCCCCCTTTTGGTTACAAGAAGAAAATGACAATGGAAAACCATGTGGTTTTGAAAGGGAATCCTGAGTAACTGAGTCTGGAGGCTGTGCATGCACCCATAGTGGAGCATCTCGGTTAGCAGCACTTCGTCGGCCTCATGGTGTGACCAGCCCATCCTGTGGCTGTGTAGTTCACGGGAAATAATGAGTTTTCACACATCTGTGTACAGGTGGCGTGCTAAAGGAGAGGGAAGGAAGACGCTTTTGTAAAAGCGATAGGCATATGACCAGTGAGTGTTTTATTTATAGCTGGCCATGTTGGTATATACCTGTAATCCCAGCACTTGGGAAACAGAGGCAGGTGGATCTCTGTGAAATCAACGCCTGATCTATATAGCAAGTTCAAGGCAAGCCAAGGTTACATAGTGAAACCTAGTGTCAAAAATCTTTTCCTTTATTTGATCAAGATTTATTTTTACTTAATTATTTTTAACATGATTTTCTATCAGTCCAACTTATATAGTTAAAAATTATTCTGCTTTTCAATTCTATATTCTATATTCTTTTTAAAATAACAGGAAGAGTTGTTATTCTAAACATGGATTATGTGCATCGTGATCCAGAATTACAACAATGGCCTTCCAGCCGTCACTACCTGTGCATCCTGCCTCCCTCTCCGGAACTCTTTTTTTTTTTTTTAAAGCACAAGTCACCAGAAATAGTTTGAAGTCTTTTTTGTTTTAGAAAGCAAGCTTTTCACCTTTTCTTACAAGCAATACATTTTAATTGCCAATACATTTGACAGAAAGAGAAATGCATATAATGCCACTTCATAGAGCTAATCACTGCCAAGTTATATAGTTAAATATACACATACCGCTTCGTGTAAATAAGATGAATGTGAAGGACGGTTTCAAAGGGCAGAAAGGTATATTCTGCATGGATATATTTATTCGACAAAAATAGGGGTACACCAGGCTGGAGAGATGGCTCAGCAGTTACAAGCACTTACTGCTCTTTTAGAGGATCTGGGTTTGGTTCCCAGCACCCATGTCAGGTGGCTCCCAGCCCAACTACAGCTCCAGGGAACCTGATGCCCTGTTCTAGTCTCTACAAGTGTGTGTGCATACGCGCACACACCCACGGACACTGGGACACACACATGGACACACACACACACACATGGACACACACACAGACACACACGGACACACACACGGATACGGGGGGGGGGTCACACGAACACACGGACACACACGCGCACACAGCATACACAACTTTAAAAAGCTTAAATGAAGTTGAATTTGCTATTACCTGCTTTTGTTACTCACAGTTTAGTCTCCTGCAGAGATGCCAGTTTGTCGTTTTCACAGTGCCTTCGGCAGACTGGGCACTGTTGTGTCTCCAACCAGGAAGAGCGCATGCTCAGTCCGCCTCCTTGTTTCCTTCCACAGATCTATTGGTTTAAAGATGGAAAGCAGATTTCTCCGAAGAGCGATCACTACACCATTCAGAGAGACCTTGATGGGACCTGCTCTCTCCACACCACAGCCTCTACCCTAGACGACGATGGGAACTACACCATCATGGCTGCCAACCCTCAGGTGAAAACAGATGGAGGCTAGGCTCTGGGGGTGTCTGTGGTTGCCAGCCTTTAGTTAGACACAGGAACTGCTTAATTAAAAGGCGAGGTCGTACCTTTTTTTTTTTAACCTATAAAACTGTTTTCTACATCCTCTCTCTCTCTTTCTCTCCCCCCACCCCCTCTCTCTCTCTCTCGATGATAGAAACTTTCTCTGCTTTGAAAGCATTTATTCCCTCAAGCATTCCTATAGGAATGATCGTGGCACACACATGCATTCCTTCCACAAATACTTTCAAGGGTCTCTCATGGGATCTCCTCTTATTAGGTTATGGAGACGCAGTGGAGGGTGGACAAAGTTTAGAAACAGAAAATAACCTGTAAAGAATAAACTGTAAGATTTCAATAGAGTTAAGAGCAAGAAGATATGGAAGGGGAACAAGATAGAGACCAAGTGATGGCATGTACATATAGACTACTTAAAAACAAATGCATGGAGAGCGTAAATGGAAACTAAGTCACCAGTAGACTTTCCCGCTGACAGTGCCTATGCACAGCTTTGGAACTTGTTTGTACAATAGATTTTTCTTATGTTGTTGATCATGGATTTAGGGTCAGAAAAGCAGTTGACCTCTTAGATTTAATAACCAGCCAGGCATCACACTCCCAACTCATCCACAGATTGTTTCTCGTTGAATATCATACAGCACTATGCTGGGAACAGAGGACTCAAAAATGAATAGGAGGTTAAGAACTCAATGTGTAACAAGGTAACTTCTGTAAGTCCACAGAAGTATAGAAGTCACATATTTAAAAGAGGGGGACTAGAATTGACAAATGTATCATATAATTCGTAAAGAAAGTCATATTTTAAAATTCCAACCTATTTGTGTCATTTTGTATTCCATTACTCTTAAGAGATGTTGTTAGAAGATATTTTGGTGTGTGGCATACCGTGATGAATGTACTCTATCTTGCCTCACTTCTGAGTTAATCAGAGTCAGACATGGCTAGTATTTACGTGGGGGAAGATGATGTTTTAGCGAAACTCCAAGACTTGAAAGTTCATACAATATTTTTCCTACCCAAATACCAGTTTCTTTACAAAGATATCTGTGTGTACTACCAAAATTAGACTGACATAAATTATTCAGATCATCAGATTATATAAAAGCACAGCAACTTCTTCACCATCATCAGAAAATTTCTATATTAATGCACCTTCTTGAAGTTCTAATTTTGTCACTAATGACCATGTGACCACCATCCTGGAAAAAAAGTCAAAATCAGCACATTATTAAAGGGGGGAGGGGAAAGTGACAGCTCACAGAGCAAACCACCTGCTGTGTGAGCATGAAGACCTGTGTCCTGATCCCCAGTACCCACATAAAAAGCTGGGTTGGGATGGCACCTCCCCTCCCCCCTCCTGAAAGGGCAGCCATGGTGGATCTTTAAGGCTTCCTGTTTAGCCGCTCTAGTCTGATCACTGAGTTCCAGATTCAGTGGCAGATACTATCTCAGAAAGTAAGGTGGAGAGGGATGAGGAAGACATCAGATAGGAATGACCTCTGACCTCACGAGCACACATGTGCACGCACACCTGCACACACATGTGAACTTATGCACACAAGCACATAGCCACAGGCATAAAAGTTACATACTAGTGCCATGTTCCCTTTTGGTATGATTGAGGGTGAGAACAGAAGTAGAACTTGCCTGTCTTTCTTCCTTCCTCCCTCCCTCCCTCCCTCCCTCCCTCCCTCCCTCCCTCCCTCCCTCTCTCTCTCTCTCTCTTCCTTCCTTCCTTCCTTCTTTTCTTTCTTTCTCTCTCTTTCTTCCTTCCTTTCTCTTTCTCTCTCTCTCTCTCTCTCTCTCCCCTCTCTCTCCCTTCCTTCTTTTCTTTCTCTCTTTCTTCCTCTCTCTCTCTCCCTCTCTCCCTCTCTCTCTCTCTCCCTCTCTCCCTCTCTTCCTTCCTTCCTTCCTTCCTTTCTTTCTTTCTCTGTTCCTTCCTTCCTCTCTCTCTCTCCCCTTCTTTCTTTCTTTCTTTCTTTCTTTCTTTCTTTCTTTCTTTCTTTCTTTCTTTCTTTCTTTCTTGTTTTTGGTATATTTCCTTGACTATTAATAAAGTGCAACTGTCAGTTTTCTGACTGCCTGAAAACAAATGCTGGAGAACGCAACAAAACCCAGAATCTTCTGTTGGGTTCTCTAGTCTACTTTCCTCTGGGAAGGCTGGCAGTATTTCTGGGGTATTGATACTCCTGAGTACTCACCAGAACTGGTTGCTGTGATTCATTTCAATGCATTTTCCTGGCATGTTTAAAATTGTCAGTGGAATAAGCTGTGTTGTAGAACAGAAGAATGCAGATGTGAAACTGCAGTTGAATCAGCATCTAGCCCTCTTCCAAATTCTGCCTGTGCATGGAAGAGCTCTAACCGAGGGAAAGCAGAACCCAGAGCTTAAGATACCAGCCAGCCCCATGGGTCAGTGTATCTGCTTACAGAAACTGTTTTGATAAACTGTACTACAGTCACTAGTTAAAGAGAGACTTCTAAGGCCTGGATCAGCACACACTGCACACGTATATCAGATTACACTCGTAAATACATATGCTTACCATTTTCCAGTTAAAAAATTAAATCTTACACAAGTCCTGTATATAAGCCACACCCTCCCACCCCTCCATATTGTAAACAAAGGAAAGGAATGAGGGAGGGGAAGCAGAAGACATGGCACAGATGGTGTCTTAGAGGAGCACCCAGTAGCATGAGCACGAACAGGCTCTGCCATTCATAACCTATGGCCTTCAGGAATCAGTTCACCTCCCTACCTCCTCCTATGGAAAACAAAAATGATAATGCGGATATATACAGGTATACGTAAGAAACACTTGGTTTATTTGACATATAGTGTGCCTTCTGCTAGCTGCTACCATTGTTCTGATTCATAGACAAACTCCCCATCATAAGACTGCAGCCCGGACACTTGGCAGAGCTTATGGGACGGTTAGTTCTATGAGAGGTCCACCCCGTATTACTGTTGGAGGGTGAGCAAGTCGATTGGGATGGAATTTGTAAGAGAGTTGCTGCTGTGTGGTCTTCTGACCTCCTGCTGGTCTCTTTATCACCCCCATTGGAAGAAGTGGGGCATCGCACGCACGCAGGCACTGCAGCTGTGCCACAACCACCACAGCTGAAAGCAAGAGACGGGTCCACACCCACAACACAGCTGAGACTGCTGGCCACACAGGAACTGGAAAGCTGCTCTGCTCTCAGCAAACCCTCAGCCAAGAGATGACTGGAAAGAATAATTACTGCCCTCATCCTAAGCCCCGGTACCTCAGACTTATCAACTCCAGGCTCAACCCCCATGATCAGCCTCTTTAGTGCTCGCCTATTACCCTCTGAGATTGAAAAAACGGAGGTGGTAGAAGTGGACCAGATGACATCAGCAAACCAAAGTCCCAGCTCTCCTGCTCCTCCCATGATTTTAGCGAAGGGTGAAGGTTCTGGGTCGACTGGGAGGAGTAAAATACTCAAAGAACCCACAGTGTTTTCATCAAGAGACAGACCTAGGACTCAGGAAGCAGGGGAAGCTGGGAGCTGGAACCTGTACCCCATATGCAAGGTTCAGTCTCCCCCACAGTAAAAGGGGGCGGGGCCTCATGAAGGAAGTCTGAGTTCCTAAGTGGACATTTAAGAGCAGCTTGTGGTGATGTGTACAGCTCTTCAGCATTGCTGGAGAGAACTGGGCAATTAGTGATGTTTTCACAGGAATTCCTATCCCGAGTTTCTGATCACGTTGCCTGGTTGATTTTAAGTCCAAAAGTAAAAGCATTCTATTCATCCTGAGTTGTCAAGAGCAAGAGTGTCTCTGTCCAGCTATTCCAGGGGTAGGCTTTGTGCATCATTTATAGACAATGGACTTATTTTCCTACACATTAAGAAAATGTGGCATGGAAACCAGAACAAGAGACAGGCCATTTTTTTCTACCTGCTCTCTTTGGCAGACCTGATCTTCTGGCTGGAGATACATGGTATTAAAAATAATTACCCAGCCAGCCACAACCTTACAACATCTGGTTTTACATATTGAACTCTTGTCCCATTCTTGTAACTTGTGACTTTTAGTGATTTAAAATAAGAATGTCCTGGGTAGACACAGATACAAAGTCAACATGAAAAATCTAACTCTCTCAAGAAGTGTTCATCCTCTGAAGCATGAAGTGCAGCTGCCAGAACACTGTAGCCAGCTCTCCACTGCCCTGTGAACACTATAGACAGCTCTCCACTGCCCCGTGCCCTCGAGCTTCCTCTGGGTTTCTGTTTGTTTGTTTTTCTAATTTTGAAAGCATTTGGGGTTAAAGCGGAGACAGCTCATACTCTGTAACCTACATGACATGAAATGGCCAAGAGGAGGAGGAAGGGATCCGAGTGGAAAAAATTAGTTCAGTAATGTGACACAGCAGTGAGGGCTTTCCTGAGCCTTGGAAAATAATTACAGAAAGCAGGCAAGGAAGGAGCTGAGAACCAAGGACAGAGGAAGATAGTGACGGTCGGCAGGACACTTTAAAACAGTACACTTTTCCACCTTGATGAATCTTCTGGGAATAAGAAACAAGCTAGATATTGTTAGCTACCTCTAAATTTTGCTTGGGATAGAACACATAGCACTAAACCCATGCCAACTGAGCTACGTGTTCCATGCCATGTGTGCATCAGAGACCAGAGCATCTCACAGCTGAGCAGGATTGTGCAGCCCAACCCCAGACATTGCCAATTCAGAGATCACAGAGCCGGTTTGTTTCAGACCCTAATCCTGTCTTTAAGACACAGCTGAATCTAAACACCAGTGTTTTGCTGTGTTTTGTTGTGTTGCTAGGTTACCGCGGGCTGCATTTAAGTTGGGAAGGCTGTTTTGCAGTTTGATGTCTCCTCCAGTCGCATGATGTACACAAGTGTGGAAGGCTTTTACAAAGGCTCGTGTGCCACGAGTTAAGCTCATAAACGATGAAGCATAAATGTTATTTTCATATCATGTAAACAGCTGGCTTCTCGTGATGAGGCATCAAATAACCTCTACAAGCTGGATGTTCCACACAGAATCATTACAATAATTCAAACTTCTTGCTTGTACTGTAACTTTAAACTGGGTGGATTTTTTTCTCCACCTGAAATAGATGGAACACAGAGCTGAGTTAAATACAGAAAATTAGTGTGTTGGTTGTGTTTATGTTAGCATCTGGTCATATTCTAAGTTTTACTTAGCCATTCACTTGCATGATAATCATAGAGCAGATGGAAACCTGAAGGTTAAAGCCACGTATAATACTGTGTGCTTGTGCATAATGGTGATGACCTCTTTGGTTGATTGGACTGTCCAGAGGATTAAAGTCATCCATTGCTGATTCAGCATGAGCATCCTCTTACTAAGATGTTCAGACCTCATGCCTGCACTTTCTTCTGTTGTGCACAGACAGCCGCTTCAAAATAGTGAAATGGTTTCAGTGACGTCTAGGTTTATCTTTCAAAGGAAAAAAAAATTAAAAGTATATAACATCTTAGTTTAGATGCTTTTTAAAGATGCTTTCCTGTATTGGTTAGCAACATACTACAATTTCTCATTAAACTATTTACTGACCGTGTGTGTGTGTGTATGTGTGTGTGTGTGTGTGTGTGTATGTGTATGTAGAGATAGAGCACACTTGCCACCACGTGTGTGTGACACTCAGGGGACAGCTTGTGGGAATCAGTTTCTCCTCCCAGATTGTGGGCCTCAGGGATCAAAGTCAGGCTGTACCCACTGAACCATCTCACTATTACAATATATCTTTAGCTAGTAACAACAGAGTAATCAAACATATAATCCTACCCCGTGAAGACCAAGCCCTCCCCATTTATATGGAGAATTGAAGATTAGTATATGAGTAGAAAGATTATAAATGACAACCTCTTCCTTTTAGCATCTTTATGAGGCATGCATATACGTAGAAGAAAATCAGAAATCAAATTGACACAAAGAGGTTTTTTTTTAAGCAATTCATATTTGTTTTCCCAAGTCCAAGGTTAAAGTATAAATTTGATTTATACTCTTTGATCATCTGACTACATAAATGACTGGTTACTATAAACTTCTCACATGTCCTGGGCTTCACAGCATAGGAAAGGTATACTGATTGACATGTACTCCACCAATCAGCAACACAGATACAGAAGCCACGCCCCATGTCAGTGAAGCTGTCAGTGGAACACACACACACACACACACACACACACACACACACACAAATGTGCTTTCTTGTCCTGGATCTCAAAGGAGAATCTTAGATTTTATGTGTTCATCTGATAAAGCTCTAGTATGATATATCAGTGGAATGTTTAATAGAGGAGAATCTCCTAAGCAAGCCGTAGATAGATTTTTCCTGAGTATAGATTTAGAGGGTTTTGATGAGATTAACTTCCTGATTTCTAGCTATTCTAGAGTCTTGAGTGTTTGCTGAGAGCTCACATGAGCCTGTGTGTAGCTTAGGTTTCAGGTACAGTTAGTTACTCTAGTGGGGGACTAGTCCTCTCTCCCAACGCTGCACTCAGCTCTTCTCAGAAGCTTTCCAGAAAGCCAGTGTTTGAGCTCCAGCCTCACAGAAGTGCTGACTGCCCAGGGCACTCACTCACCTAGTAGTACAAGACTGTATTGTTGTCAGTACCCTTGCTACCTAGTAATTCTGGTTCGTCTCTGGTCTGCATTACATCCTATGTGTCCACCTCCTCTGAGTGGCTGAATCCCTAAGGAAGTCATGATGCGGATGACTGGGGAACCAGGTTACTGGATTCCTGCCCCCTCATTAAACCCTACGATGGATTTCCTGCTGTGATATCCTTCCTCGTTTCTTCTCATGCAGTCTGTCCCTGCCCAGTCTCAGCTGGAACCCAAGTCTTCAGAGCACACTGTTACATTGCTTGTCTATATTGGCATCTTGCTACATGGGTTTCTCATTCATCCCAAGCTAGAAGTCATGAAGCCTAATTATTGATGACACTTCTGCATCTCTTGGTCCCTCTCTTGCTGTTCCTCTTTGGCCAGCATCAGAAGTTAGAAGTAAATTTGCTCACTCTGAGAAGAGGGGGCAGAACTCATTGATGTCACTACCTGTGAGTAATAGTAATGAAAAAAGCTGAAACCAACTCCAGAGTAATATCTGGGGACTTATTCTCATTATCTGGGTTCCCTAAGGATTGTACATGTCTACCTACAACTTATCAGGTCTACAGTTGGCAAACTTAAGAGATAAATACAAATTTTGATTAGCTAAGCCTTTATCAGGTGACTCACATGGTCTGGGCATGCGGTTGTTCCTAGCTTTTAAATTGTGTACATGTTTATTTTCAGAGACACACCGTCATGATGCTCACACCATCGTGATGTTCACACCATTATGATGCTCACCTCATCCCATGCACACCTCTTACAGGATGCTCATTTTCATCATGCAGGCATCCCTTAGTTCATGGCTTCAACAAAGCAATAACACTAAATGTTCACTGAATGTATGACTGAGAAGACCTGAAAGGGAACTAAAATTATTTAATTCTGATCTCAGAATTGGCCACAACAAGCAGATGTTTGATGACAACAGCATATCACAAGAGAAAAATAACCTCCCGTCCTACTTCCCGTGTTCGGAAAGCCTTATGTTGCAGATTAATGAGGGTGTCATTTTGAATGTCATCCTAGATAAAACTGTCTCTTGTCACCTGAATCCTTTCAGCAAATGGTTTTACTGAGGCCTTGGGTTTGGTCACTAGTGGTACAGGACTGTGAAATAATGCCTTAGAGAGAATAAGATACAAGGCATGCTAGTGTGTGATGCTTATTGTGTTTGCATAGCACATAATGTCTTCTCCTGATCTCTGACAGGGTCGAGTCAGTTGTACAGGACGGCTAATGGTACAGGCTGTTAACCAAAGAGGCCGCAGTCCCCGCTCTCCATCAGGCCATCCTCACGCCAGAAGGTATTTCAGATGCTCCTTCCTGGGGGTCCTGGGGTCACTTCTCATTCATTTATCACTGTGAACCCATTACTACCACAATTATAGTATGACAATGGACACAGTCTTGAAGTGTGACAGCAGGCAGGTGCTGGATGCCATTTCATAATAATATATTTGAATATTAAAAGAAATATGGTAAGGCAGCGAGCCAGTCAGCCTGTCATGCTTATCTGTATTACAGACACAGCATCCCAAAATAGCACTAAGTGTAAATTTTGGGCCCTGAGTGCAGACACCTTTGGTGGAGAGATAAGCAGAAAAAGTAGGCGAGTGTCAGTCAAACAAGTGGAGCCAGAGTCACCCAGCGACTACCACAGAGCACTTGCTTCTGACAAGGACTGAACATGTGCAGTCGATGGCCAGTACCCACTGAGGCAGTACCAGCTCCCGGGAGCCTAGATCCCTATCTGTGGCCATAAAGACACATTAGAACTATGCTCGTCACTCTTGTGTCCTTCCTTTCTACCTCTGTCCAATAAGTAGAACATACCTAAAATTTTCCATATGTCAGTGGCCCCACAAGGCCCACTGTCATATATTATATCATATATCATATATTATATCATATATTATATGTCATATATTATATAAAACAGCTGATCATCGTTAGTCTTACAGCTGAGAGTCTTAATTGCGCCATTACTCATTTCCTAGTTAAATAGGGTGTTTTTTCTTTCTTTAGTCTCTTTAGCACTGAGGACTGAACCTAGGGCCTCATGCCTCTGAGGCAAGCACTCTTGTACTGAGCCTCAGCCCCGCCCTCAGGTCTTAAACTTAATCTTCCTAATGGTTTCTGACAATTTGTCAAGACATACCAAGTCTGAGTGGTCCCCACCACCTTCTTTTAAAAGCAGAATATTAAGGCCTTTAGGCATACAAATGAATGAAAAATTAAACGTGCCTGAGAATGTAGTTTGTTTTCCTGGGGAACATGAAAGGGAATTTTGATGAGAAATACATTATATTTTTATAAAGTAAGACATTATAATTAGCTACAAAAGTAAAATTATGGTCAAAAGTTAATGTTTATTTCTACTGGGAATCAGTGAAAACCATGAGTGGAAGCTGCTGTTACTTGTAACATATTCTAACAGAAGCTTTAAAAATGTCTATTTAGGTAAAAATATTCTCAAGTACAGTAACCTTCTGCATTTCCGTTTTGTGATTTGTGTTTGATCGTCTTCTGACTGGAGACTATTAAATTGATCATAAACTTCCAAATGAAATGAGGTTTACTCTTCTCATTTCGGGTGTGTAAGTTTTGGAAGATGGAACCGGACTTATGTCCCCTGAATAACTGGTGTGTATGTTGTATTCATCCGCCTATCTTATCTCGTGTTCCAAGGCCTCGCTCTCGATCAAGGGACAGTACAGATGAAAACGAGCCCATTCAGGAGCGATTCTTCAGACCTCACTTCCTACAGGCTCCTGGAGACCTGACCGTTCAGGAAGGCAAGCTCTGCAGGATGGACTGCAAGGTAAGTGTGTCCGTATCTGCCGCCGTAAGATGACCCAGCGTGAGAGAAATGTGTGTCTACATACAGTTATCATCGTGGCTTTCTTTATTTGTAAACATATATTAAGTTTGTTAACTCTGAACTCTATGCACCAAGCTCCAGGTACTCACTGGGTCATCCTAACTCTCTTCCCCTCCCCACCATCTGTTGTAGTAACAGTGAGTGTGATGCATCCTAGTCATCAAGTGATCGTCATGATTATGCTGTGCTATGAAATTACTTACGTTTTTATTCCCCCCTACTTACCTTCTTACAGTAGTTTTTAATCCGTTGACTCTATTTTAAATTAGCTTACATGCCAAGTGGTTTCCTTATGGCGTTTTCATACAAATTTAGCTTGGGTTGGTTTCCAGTCCTGCTTCACCCCTCCCCTACCTGCCTCCCTGTTCCCACTGATCGTTCCCTCCCTTCCAGTAGCCTCCCCCAATTCCACCTCCTATCCTTGGTGTGTTACTGTCCTAAGCTTTAGCTCTTAAATGTGGCAAGTTTTTTAAAATGATTTGGGCTCTATCTGCTGGTTCTCTCTGGAATTGCAGAACAGGAAAAATTGCTTGTAGAGTTTGGAAGAGAGGTTTGAAAAAAATGCTGTTAAAATAAGTTTCATGGCTCACAACCAAACATTAGGTGGAACTTGAGGAATCCCACAGAAGAAGGGGAGGAAAAACTGTAGGAGCCAGAAGGGTGGAGGACACTAGGAGAATCCGGCCCACAGGATCAGTTAAGCAGAGCTCATAGGGACTCACAGAGATTGAATCATGGCGCCTGCGTGGGTCTGAGCTAGGTCCTCTGCATAGATGCTATGGTTGTGTACCTTGGAGTTCTCGTGAGACTCCTAACAGTGGGAGTGGAGGTTGGTCGTCTCTGACTCTTTTACCTGCATTTGGGACCCTTTTCCTGCTACTGGGTTACCCCGTCCAGCCTTGATGTGAGGGTCTGCGCCCACTCATACTGTAACTTGTTGTGCTGTGTTCAGTTGGTATCCCTGGGAGGCCTGCTCTTTTCTGAGGGGAAATGGAGGTGTGGAAGGGAAGTCAGAGAGAGGGACTAGGAGGAGTGGAGGGAGGGGAAACCGGGAGGTAATACATGGGAGAAAAATAAACGAAAAGAAAGTATGTTTCATGGGTACTCACATGACACAGCTAATGTGTGGCCGAGAAGAATGACACATACTGGCATTTCTAAAACAGGCCACCTCTGTGGCTTTAATTAGTTTTGAAAACATCACTCTTGAAGATGCAAGAGTAGAAGGTGTGATTCCTCTATCAGTATGAAAGAGAATGCGAGTTAGAGAGAGGTTTTGCCAATGACCACAAGACTGGGAGGACCGTCTGTGTGTCCTCATTCTTAGAAGGGCATCAGGGTTCTTTAGCTCAATCCTAAAAGTAATTTAATTGATTACTCTTCCTTTTCAAGTAAATTTGGTCTTCTAATAATGTACAGAAAAGAAATAAAATTATTTTCTAATGTAGTACATCTTATAGTATAAAACACAAGTTGAATGTCAATGCATTTACTTCATTTTAAATCAAGAATTAATATGGGGAGGGCAGGCGTGGTGGCTCATGCATTTGATCCTAGCAGTCAGAAGGTAGAGGAAGATGGATCTCGGAGGTTGAGACAAGCCTCGTCTACATAATGAGTTCCAGGACAACTATAGAATGATTCTGTCACAAACAAACATTGCATGGCCCTGTCACAAACTGTGTCCTGAAATGCAGGATAACCAGTGCTATATGACATGACCCTGCCGCAAGTGGTTTAATTAATTAATTTAGCATTCACTTCTTGGGGACCTGGTAAGATAACTCAGCTAGTAAAGTGTCTGCTACTCATACATGAGGGCTTGAATTCCCATTTCTCCAACATGCACACAGAAAGCTGGTGTTCTGTAACCCACTGCTGGTGGGGTAGGTAGGCACAGGTAACCCCAGAGCTAGCCCAGGCAGTATAGCCAACCAATGAGCTCTTCGTTCAATAAGCCACCCTATCTCAAAACTGAGGTGCAGAGCTATAGACTTCTGTCTTCCTCCTGAATGAGCACACGCATGCACGAGAACATGTACACAAACACCACACACAGGAATTCATATGTTAGAACTACCATATGATCCAGCTGAATGTCGATCCACAGGAAGTGCAATCACAAGTCACAGATGTCTGCACTCATATCACTCACACTGTCCGAAATACAAAATCAACTTAAGTGTCCTGCAACAGACATACAGACTTAAAAATATACCTGCATAATGTATACTGAAAGAAGAAATTCCATCATTTGTGAAAGGATGATGTTCCTGGAGGACACTGTGTTAAAGTGAAATGATCCAGGTCTAGAAAGACAAACACTCCATGACCTCAAGTACCTGGCACTTCCGTGTAGCATCTCAAGAACCTCGATGGTGGAGGAGTTGACCAATGCTTACTGAGGGCTGACAGAGCAGAATTAGGAAACTGTCAGTCACAGCTATGAATGTCCATCGCATAGGAGACTGAAGTTCAAGAAATCCATTGTTCAGTATGGTGGTTATCACCAAGCCATCAAACACATGACAGCGACTGACAGGAGACTGTAAATGTTCCTGCCACACCAAAAAGGAAAAGGAAGGAAAGGAAAGAAGGGAGGGAGGGAGGGAGGAAGGGAGGGAAGGAAGAAGGGAGGGAGGGAGGGAGGGAGGGAGGGAGGGAGGGAGGGAGGGACAGACATGTGAGACAATAGATGTGCTGCTTGGCTCTGTGACTTCATTCTACAATGTGTGCATATTCTAAGGTGTCATGTATGCAAAATATACAAACTAAAATTTTTCCTTGCTCGTTTTCTAAATAAACACCTTAAGTTTTAAATCAGTTCACAAATATAACCTGTATGATGGCATTTCCAGTCAACGAAGGAGATGATATTCTGAGGTTGTTATTAATTACAGGTTTAAACACAGAATTGTAGGCCAGGTGTGGTGGCACACACCCTTACTCCCAGACCTCAGATGGCAGAGACAGGTGGGTCTTTGGGAGTCCCAGGCAAGCCTGATACACACAGGGAAACATAAGCCAGTTAGCATTACACAGGCAGGCCCTGTTTCAGAAAAACAGGGAAAGGAAAGAAACACAAGAAAAATGTATACTTTTTTAAAATGTAAACTACGTTACCTAGAAGTACATTTGGAGCAAGTGTGAGATTAATTTTAAAACAAGCATGTAGCAAGAGTGGGTGTAGGCGACGTGCTGATATGTAGCACCCAAATGACTACTATTTATTGCTCTAAACAGCAACATAGATGTCCTTTCATCTCTGCCTTTAAAAGGATATTGAGAACTGAAATAATCACTACTTGAGCTCACTACAGTGATAGGACCTAGATAAAGAAAATATGGAAGGCAGTAGGTATGGTGGCACAAGCCTGTAATCTCCGAACTAAGAAAGTGGAAGTGGAAAGATCATGTTGCAGGAAATATAGAAAATAATACAGCAGGCTTCCCACGCTACTTCCACCAACTCTCTGCCCCAGAGTGGTCCGTCCGCCTTTGTCTCTAGCTAGCCCCCTCAGCGGCTTCAGCTTTACAATGGTGGAGCGGTGGGCTTGTCTGCCTGCCATCTCTGCTGCCTCCCTGGCTCTCCCCATGCAGCGACCAATCACAGCCTTCCCAGATCCTGTTTGCTGCCTCACTGCCACCCATACCCTCCCAGTCATAACCCCCCTGGTCGGTGGGCCCACATTCCAGTAACCCAGTAAAACAAAACTCTTGAAGCATGTAGTTAACCAGTCAGATTTATATAGCAACAATTCTCAAATCACAAGCTTCCCACACAATAATTTCAAAACCATTGATAATGGTACAAGCTGCCCACTTAGAATAGATAAGTTATCCCAATTATTCTAACCTTGTAAGATATTTACAACTACCTGTGGCTATTTAAAGCCACGCTGGTTCTGAATTATCCTATCCTGTCTTCATCTTGGCTCCTTCTCCTCTCCCTCTCCTCCCTCTCCCTCTCCCTCTCCCTCTCCCTCTCCCTCTCCCTCCCTCCCCCTCCC